CCTGTCCAACTTTAGCACCATGAAGATTATTTTTGAAGTTCATTTTGCTATAAAGAGGACGACCTGCTTCCTGCTAGGGGGGGGAATACAGGTGAGTCTCAATCAATGTTTTTTCTTTTAATAAGGGAGATTTTATTAAGAGAAAAATAAACATTTTATACGATTGATCATTTCATATTCTGCAAAAAAAAAAAAAAATTTCCATGAATACTTGAATCCAGAGCAATCATTTCTGATGGATTCAGAACCAGTTCTACTGGTACCAGTTCAATATCGAAGCCAATCTGGTCTCACAGATCAAACAAACACCGAATAAAGCCAGATTGGACTTTGATCTAACAATCTTTTATGATCTTTATATGACAGAAGCGGGTGAATAAAACAGAATGAGGCTTTATTGAAGGCTGTCAGAACTGACCCCAGTTTATCTGCTCATTTTATGGTATGATAGAAAAATGTTTAGATCTGATCTCAGAGCAGAAAGAAGGAAAGAAGCAGATTAATTAGGACATGATTTTCCAACAACCTTTTTTTTGGTCATAAATAGGCTTTAAATTGGAAAGGTATTAGGGAGCCAAATGCAAAAATTTTACAATTCTATGGAAGAAAAACTGCCTTTTTTTTGTACACTGAATTTTAAAAACTTAGCTTTTATCATTTCAGCTGCAAAAAATTGATTGCAATGTGTTGACCTTTTGGTGAAATGAAGCCAAAGCAATCTACGCTTGTTGCAGTCGTACAGCTTCTAGCCAATGAAATGAGCCCATTTGGTCATAAAAAAAAAAGTTTGCTGCCAGCCGCTTCTTCTGGATCAAACCAAAAGCCTTGGCAGGCAGGGGTGCCGCCCTAGCTGTGACTGGCTCTGTTATTTCACCCAGTCTGATTAGATGAAAAACTATTAGTACAGGGGCGGAGCTAGATGGGGGGCCAGGGGTGGCCATGGCCACCCCTACCATTATTTCCCTCTAATACAGATGGTGGCAGCAGTAATTCTCTCAAGTAGAATAATTAAAAAAAAAATTTTTTGTGGTTAATTATACACATCAATATACTAACATCAAAGATGATAAATACAGAATTAATGCTCTTTTCAGAGCTAGATTTTGTGATCTATGGGGTAAAGAGAAAAATACACTGCCTGGCCAAAAAAAAAAGTCGCCGCCTGGATTCAACTAGCAAATAGGTACGAGCCTCCAACAAGTTATTTAACCCCAGCTGGTGCAATGACTTGTTTCTCATTTCCTAAACAACCATGTCTAAAGACACATCCCGTGGTCGTGGAAAATATGTTAGTCTGTTTGAGAAGGCTCAAATCATTGGCATGCATCAAGCAGAGAAAACTAAAGAGATTGCAGAAACTACTAAAATTGGGTTAAGAACTGTCCAACGCATTATTAAAAACTGGAAGGATAGTGGGGACCCATCATCTTCAAGGAAGAAATGTGGCCGGACAGAAATCCTGAATGATCGTGATCGGCGATCACAAACATGTGGTGAGATAAAATCGAAGAAAAACAACAGTAGAAGTCAGGGCTATGTTTA